CTGTGAAAACAATGCTAAGAGAGGGAAGCAACTTAAAGTTGCAGCCCAAACAACCAAGAAATGAAAAAACCTGGCAACCCTAACTGACTTGTTGGAAGAGTCAACTTTATTTTGCCTGCATGTTTCGACACAATGCCTTTAATTTCTGGGTTGTTGCTGCTTGAGCACCTTGTTGATTGGTGCACTAGTAACAGCACAGTTCTTCTGCAGGATAAACACCCAAACAATCGTGCTGAAAGATGCAAAATGCTCAGTAGAACTAACAGGAACAGTGAGTTTGTCACTATGGCTGACCCCTTTCACATTACACATAGTTATTTCACCCACTGTTAAAAATATTGGTTAATACAGTTTTAAGATTTTAGTCATGTTTACCCTTATCCAGTGATGTACAGAGGAGAGGCAGACATACAACATTAGGAAAGAGGGTATCGAAGGCAAACAAAGGTTTCTAGTCAAATGTGAATCAGGATGTTGTGGTTAGGTGGTATGCATTTCAAGTTTCTGATTAAAATACATCACTTACTTTAGTTTCACCAAAATATTTTAACCTTCTGCACCAACGCTTTGTGTCTTGAGAAGAGCTTCCCTGCCACTGAGAGTTGTTTTGGTGTACTATCATGTTTCAGTTTATGAATGTATGATGATTCCTCAACTTGGCTGTGTAAAGAACGAGGACTTGCTTCTGACCAGAACAATATTTTGGCCCAAAACATGTCATTTTGGAACTGTTAAGCACATAGGGGTCTTGAAAGTAAAATAAAAGTTCTTGATTTTGACGTTGAAGTTTGTTGTCAAAGCCATGCAAAGCAACCGCTGATCAGCCTTTTGCTATGGCCACTACTGGGAGTGGTTACTGAGGTGTGACCTCTCGGTTCTGCAGCAAAAGCACTTTGTGGTTTGTGTATCGAAACAAAACAAGTACACAAGACTCAAATGTTACTCCTTTAATTGGTTGCAATGTGGCAGAAAAATGAGCACAAAGGAGTTTGTTTTGCTATAAATTGCATCACCTTCTCACATTAACCTCAGTGGCTCCTCTGAGGAGAGCTGTGCAGGTTGCATTAGCACAGACTCACAGCCTGCTGGTTGGAGAGCCCTGTGGTGGGGAAAGCCAGGATGGGTGCCAGGTCTGGAGGGGTGCAAAGGTCCAGCTGTGCTCCGCATGTCTCAAACGACCGGTGCATGGACCAGAACCATCTGCTGTCCATTTCACTTACATTCTCACTTGATGCTCTGCCAGCAGCTCACTTTTCCACCCCTGGAACGAGACTAATCCTCCAGTCCACGCATGAGCCACCATAGCTTCGGGTTCAGTTGGCAGAACATAGTGGTTGCTCTTCTGATTTTGCCTGACAAAACAAAGGACTATACTTCCCTGAAATGCATTTCAACGCAGTATCATTTATCACAAACTGTCTTCGAAAGCTCCATCCACTACTTACTGTAATGACCAGATTTGCTTTTCCATTCTTCTTAAGTGTGTTTGAGTCATTTCCATCAACTACATAACTATTAAGCACTTAGCAGCCTGCCCTCAACTGTTGAAGTACATAAATGGCTCATGACCTGAGCATCATATGCATCATCTTTAAGGCTGCTGCATCACTGTTTGAGTGTTTTCCACCAACTAAACAACCATTAAGCACTCAGCATCCCGGCCTCCTCGACCGTTAAAGCACATGAGATTGATCAGCGACATGATGACTCATAAAGAAACAAGTACAAAGAAGCTGTGGTATGAGTAGTTTCTGTTGTTTGAAATCTCTTTTTCCTGAAAACAGTGAGCATTTGTTCAGTTTGAACTCATCTAACTTGCTCGCAGTTGTGCAAAATTTAATCTTCTATGCTGCATTGCAAGAATGAATGAGTTTAATTACCTTTCAGATGTTTTCTGACATTTGTAAGAAGTTCAAAGAACCAGTATTTCAGTATGAGTCATTTTAATCTACAAACACACAACAAAGTGACTAAAGAAAACCATGATTCATTAAGAACTACAACATATTGCTGTGAGTGTTGTGTGAGAGTTCAAGTTTCCACTTTTCTCTTTTGGTTAGTGTCATAGTGCTGGATGGGGCATTTGAAAAGCATTAAAAGTAATGTGACTAGAAGGTTGTCAGGCAACAAGTCATAAATATCTATGGGAGAATTATGATTCATTGCAGATGTATAAGATTTTATAGGCACTGATAAAATGCATGAGTAACCATTATATGCTCTTAAGAACAAGGCCAGGATATTTTGATGAGACTCTTAGATGTGAAGTTTAAAATATAATGGACCTATGAAGGTGCTGAAATGTTGGGTCTTATTCTGCATTAAAGGTGTTTTGCAGCTGCTTGTTCTGTGGTCAGCACTTCCTCCAAACTTCTTCTGCTATTGCATACAACTTTCTAAGCAAAGGCCTGACTCAGATCAGTTTTAAAGGAATAGATTGACATCGTGGGAAAGCTGTGTAGTCACCTCCATGTTGAGAGTTTGAATAACTTCATGTTTATTGTACAAACGAGTTAGTGGCATTGATCTTCTCATCTCCCAAAATGTCCAACTGTTCCTTTAAATACATTTAGCTAATAATGTCTCTGAACATCTGCCACTGCAAACCCTTTCTAACCAAAAGTCAAGCTAAAATGAGCAGTTTTATGTTGAAAGTTGTCTCCTTGAACAAGTTGTTCTAATACTTCGAGGAATAAGAACTAAAGGAAAATTTGCACTCTGCAAAAAGAGGTCATATCTGCCAGATTCTTTTGTCTGTGGAGACCACACACAACGTGAGTGGTATTAGATCGTACTTCAAGATACTGTACATAGACCAGAGACAGGCGCACGTGTGTGGTTTGGGTCATTTTTTTTTTTAAATCTTTGCACTTGAACGTCAACAGTGTCACAGGCCAATACTGATATGTGACTCAGATTGATAGTGGCATATCAATCACGTTTTGTGTCAGTGTGGAATCTGTTCATGTGCCTGATTTTTTTGTGTGTAGGAGGGCTGGAGAGTTTGGTGATAATTCAGCTGTAAATGAATAATGGCAGGATGAGACAGTGATCGTCAGTGATGTAAGTGATGACAGGGTTCCATGGAGTAAAGTAAGTTCCCACACAGGCCTTCATAGACATGATTGCTGGTGTTTTACTGCACACACATTATTACTGGCTGGTCACCAACCACCTTTTCCAGCAGAATTTCCACACGTGTGTCCATAGCGAAAACAATAAGGAGAAACACAGCTAGGTGAAAATAATGCCAGTTGTACATGTGTGAAATCTATAAACACCTTGTTTGTGATCGTTAACAATTCATTGTCAGTAAAATACATTAGTTTGCAGACAGTAGGGCACGGACGGACTGGGAAGAGACTGAAATATTCCAGACTCCTTCTCCATACTCTACCTTCGGGGAATAACCTCTTCAGGTAATTTAATTAGCAGGAAAAATTGCCTTCAGCTCCATGTTCATCTGATTTCACTGGGTTTTAAGCGAGAGACTCCATGCCATGTCAAGTGTTTGGCCTCAAACTCAAATGTTGCATGCGAATTTGCTAATAGACTAAACTATGTTTTACCTTCAGGAGATGTGGTCAGAACTGAGCCAGAGAGCAAGACTGGGACTAATAAGAGCTTTAATCATGCTTAGATCATGCCAACAAAAGCTCTCTCATCTATCTGTGGGGTTCAGAAGCTATGATTTGTACATTTAGATTCAAATTTGATTTCCCTTCATCTGCTGTTCCGTCTGTTTTATAAATCAAAATGACTCAAGAGAAACTGAACAAGAAGGACTTTAAAATGGAGATTAAGGTTAAATATGCATTGTATAATATGTAGAGAATATCTACATTTGATCATAAACAAAAAGTAGGCTCTCAATGCTACTTATGCTCCTTTGTTGTCTTTGTAATTAAGATGATTATATTCTCCAGTTTAAAGGAGTTATATTTATGAAAACAGACATTTCCTAGCCATCCTTAAGGCTGACTCAGCTGAAGTGAGTGTGCATGTGTGAAGCAAAGATAGAAAAAGAATGAGACAGCTACTTTCTTTTGTTGTAAAAGCCACTTTCACAGGCTATGAAATTTCATGCCACAGCTGCCAGTTTCATAGCCGGCAGCTCAAAAAGCCGTTACAAACCACATGCCATCAAAATGTGCTGGCAGCGATTTTCCTTTGTGTCAGGTCATTTCATTCACTGTCACTGTTTCATTCGCATCCTACTGTGGTGTCGATGAGTCAGTACTAAAGTTGATTAACAAGAATTTAAAGACGACAACCTCACGTGGGCTGTTTTGCGGTGCTGAGCCCCTAAGAAACAATCCACATTTGTTTTTCTTTACAGTTTTGTGCACAGTGTCAAACTAGGCCCATCAGTCGGACACACACACACACACACACACACACACACACACACACAGCTTCAAAGTGAATCCAGTGAGCACTATGCAATAAAACAATACACCAAAATTTTTCCAGCACAGACAGACATTGTCTGAGGGCCTCTGCAAGGACCAGATGGTGTGGTGTGAATGATGCACGGCTGTACTACTTCCCAGGGCGACCTGCTATGTGTGGTGGCTGAGTAACTGACCAGATCCTGCACAGCGACTTGGAGAAAACAAACTCTGGTTGTCTGAGAAGTGAAGATTGTAAGAGGCATGCACATCTGCAGTGGCTGTGATGCACAGAAGGCCAGTTATGTTTTACTGAGCAAAAGGGAGAAGTGGTTTTACACACAGGCATCGTGTGTGTGTGTGTGTGTGTGTGTGTGTGTGTGTGTGTGTGAGAGAGAGAGAGAGAGAGAGAGAGAGAGAGAGAGAGAGAGAGAGAGAGCACTCACACCTCTTGTAAGAGGGTGCATGAGTGGCAACACAGTGTTACTTACACAAACATCAGTGTCAGCTGTACAGGGTGTGTACATCTAACCATAAACCACAGAACACACACTCACTTTAAATACCCTTGTGCCTTACATACAGTTAGTGGATCCAACTCTTATTTCACTCACTGACACCATCATGGGATCCTCAGGGCTGTTGATTTTGGGTCTTCTCCTAAATGTTGCTTACTGCTTGGGAATTCTGGGTAAGTCTGCAGGATTACAGTCTGTCTGTGACTGTCAGCCTTTTATGAGTGACTTTTATTAGCCCTTAAGGTCTTGTTCAACCTGTGGCATTTACACTAAACAGTGCAGCTACAGTTTTTCTAAACGATTATTCTAATTATAATTGCACACAGGCAACAAAGCTACATGCTGGATGCATTTTGAACACATTAAATAACTATTTCTGCAATTTGTTGCTGGTGGTGTGTTGCTTTTGTTACTCTGGCAGTTCATTATTATGGACCGGTGGTGTCACCTAAAGCCACATTAGTTTACAACCCTTTAAAGTATGAGGGTTGTTATGAGTAGTTTGTGTGTGTGTGTGTGTGTGTGTGTATGTGTAATGGGAAACCCTCTGCAGGCTAGATTTTGTTTAGAGATCCTACTGTTCAGTGTTGGGGCTTTGTTTGTGCAGTCACTGGGACTTCCAGATGGAGATGAAAGATTAAATGTGAATAAACACAGTTTTTTAAAGTTGAAAGTCTTATTTGTTTACCACATCCCCAGCCTGCAAAGGAAGAGCCGCTGTGTGCCAGTGGTGAAGGCTGTTTGGTGAGAAAAAAAGGCACCTGCGGCTCAGCAAATGTGATGCAGTGCATGAGTGCATCATTTTCTTCTCAGCCATTTTCTTTTCTTAAGGTGTGCCTTTTCCATGCTTGGCTGACATTTATTATTGGCAATAACCTGCAAGGGCAAATGAATTATGAACCCACCAGGTATAATTGAGCTGATACACATATTTATTTCTCTCCCTCTGTGTCCTTTCCTCTTGGAGCCTCTCCACATAGTTCCCATTTGCGGTGATGTATAGTATGACCAACAGCATTCCAGCTTAAACTGTGTTTGATGCAGTTTAATTTAGACTGCAGCAGCTGGCTCTATATTCATTGGTTTTCCATGAAACAGTGCAGCAGCAAGCTGTCATCATTTTCCTTATCATGTACCTCAAGTTGAATAAGTTCTTGACTTCAAATGGCAGCCACAGAAAATTGTGTCCTCAAGTGCACTTTGATGAAATCTGCAGAGGAAGCAGAGTGAAGGGGACTTGGTATGCACTGGAGCCTGCACACTCTCCTTTCTGCTAGTGCTAAAGCCTGCCAGCTTATATTAAATGTCCTTTCCTCTGAAACCTCCCTTACTGCGGCTGATTTCTCCACAGCATGGAGGGAATAAGTTGTCAGTGTCTAGATATTGATCAGGGCATTACATTGGGACTGTTGTGATTTCATTAATATAATAGTCTTCTGTTAACTCACTAACTAAAGCAGATTTTCCCCATTTCACCTCATTTTCTCCTTTGCTTGTTATATTTCCATATCTATTGATAATGGGATGTGCAGGTGGTGTCTTCTCAACCATATTTATGGACATGATATGACTGATAGTTACTATTAAATGGTGTGGCAGCAGTACAAAGGCCTGGCATGGTGAGTTCATTTGTTGGACAGTCGCCTGCTTTGGTCCATTTTGCACAGGCATTTTTGATCCCAGGTTGATGAATCCAAATGACTTACTTTTCCTCTAGCACTTTGGACATTTTGTGATCCTGAGTCAAAATGTCTCAACAACCCATGGTTGATAGTGATATGAAATTTGGTGCAGAGATGTTCCCATTAAGAATTTTAATGATTTTGCATCATGCAACGATCCATATCATTGAACTTTAGAGTTGCAATGCAACACTTAATTATGGTTAAAAACTAACAAATTAACTAACAAACTAACCCTGATTAGCCTGAGTACTATAACTAAATCTATTTTTTACTATTTACTACAAATGTTAGATTTATTCTAAATTCTGGGAAAAATTATCTTCCATTGGTTTACAACCACATGCCTGCAAAATGAAGACATTCCTAAGAGCCTGAGGTGACCATTGACCCAGTTACTCTGCCTCATCCATCACAGTTTTACTCAACCAGTGAAAGACAATTGGTTGTGCAGAAGCACCATTCATACACAACACTGGACATCTATCCGCCTGCCGTCCATTCTATCTTGAACAGGAACAATCACATTTCACCCCTCAAGACATTTTCTGCTTCGCTTTTGTTTGCAGTTCAAGTGAACTTGTGACCTTTCATACTGTGTTGTTCTGTGTCTCAGGTCCAAGTGATGAGTCGATTGAGATCATACCCAACATCACAGCAGTCCTGGGAGAAGAGGTGTACCTGGGCTGCAGATATCTGGGCAAGAGTAAGATCCAGAGCGCTGAGTGGAAACGCCAGGCTGACTCCAAAACAAAATTCAAGAAACTGGTAGGGTTTTCAAATGATAAGCCGTTTAGCCGCAGTGAGGACTTGTCCTTGCCAGACTCTCTCACCAACCTCACAGTTAAGATGCGAGTGTCCAGTGTGGATGCAGAGGGAGAATACATCTGTGAGTTTGAATCAGAAGATGAAAACTTTCCTGGCAGCACATTTGTCACAGTAGTAGGTAAGCTAAGCCAATAATGTCTGTGCTATTCTTTTCAATCATCACTAGGTAAAGAAACCAACCTAATGAGGTAACAAAAATTCAAAATCAAAAAAGCCATAGCTCCTGCACCACAAGTCTGATTGAGAGATGATGCATCTTTGAGCTAAGACATGCCAAAGCCACGTAAAGAGGATGACGTGTTTACTTGTTAATTCATTCACAGCTCGGCCTGATCTCCAGCTCCGGGTGAATGCAGAGACCATAAATGGCACTCACTACCAGTCGGTGTCATGCTCTGCCATTGGTGGCAGGCCCACCCCTCAGATCAGATGGCTAGTCAATGGCCTTCCACCCTCAGGTGGCCCCTTCACTGTGAATGTGAGTAACACTGTTCACTCAAACGGCACCTCCACCCTGAACAGCATCCTACACTTCCCCACCCACCTGCAAGATGAGGACAGCGTGACCTGTGAGGTTCGACACAAGACCCTCCCAAACCCTAAACTCACCACAGTCAGGGTGGAAACCTACGGTATGCTCACACTTAGAGCTGTGTTAGTGCTGTTGTGGTTGTATGTTTGTGTTGCCAGGAGGTGACATAATGTTTGCATCTGAATTTTGTAATTGCACATCATGACTCAGTATGAACTCAAAAGGAACAATAATGTTCTCCTGACTGTTGCTTCTCACTCTGCTCCACAGTCATGGTGACAGGCCATAAGTCACATCGCAGAGTGCAAAGCTTCCACCTGGGAATGCACTTTTTCACCGGTGTCGTGCACATGGAGCATCATAGTGCAGTGACAACCTAGTTACAAATTAAGAACAATGTTATAACACAACACAGCATGTAAATTGTTAGCTGCATTTCTCAAAGTTCTCACACATAGGCCTGGAGTAGTGGAAATCCATTTTACACCTTTCAAATTAAACAAAGTTCTTGTACACCATAAAATATTAATGACACTGTGGGTGCACAGAATCAAAACATTTTGACTGACAAGGAACTAGAAATCCAGCACACTCATTTTATTTAACTGTGTTTTGCTCTGCGTTTGGTATCAGGTAAATTTACATTGTTAAAGCATTAACAATGGATCAGTTTGTATACAAAAAGGGAGTGGGTTGGAGTGATGAGTCCGTAGGGAACTTAGTTTGTGTGTGCTTTAGAAAGCATGTTATTATCTTTTCAGCTAACTGTTGGTTTTCAAGCCGGCACTTTTCTGTTTTGGTTCAGTTTTATCAGTGTTTCTTTCATCCATATGGGCAATTGTTTCCAATGAAAAAGCTCTCACTGCTTGTCACATCAAACACAGATAGACAAGGTTAACGACTAGTCAGTGAACATAGTGGAGCTTTTAGCAGCTAAATGGTCAGATACAGTACTTCCTGCAGGAGCTGAAAATGACAGTGAACACTGGACCTACTATCATCAGTGGACAGAAACATGGCTCAAAACTTGACAGGACAGAATGCAAACCTCTGCTAAGGCAGATCACTGTCCCCATCATGCCACACCTTGAATATGAAAACATCCCCCAAGCATTTGGAACCAAATGGTAGTTTTATTCAGCATCTATCTTTGGAAGAGAAGTCAGATCTATTGACACTCTACTGAGTCACCAAAGTTCCATCTAGAGTTTGATTTTAGCTACAAGTTTGTAGCATTATTTGTTGTCTCACAGTAATGAGTTTTCCACGAGCCCCATAAATTTCATCACTCTGAATCAACACATCTGGAATATTAATTGGATCCAGTTCAGACTATTGCGTGTCGTAAAGCTTATGGGGATGTTATTGTGTAATTTTTGTCCAAGCAGCATTGGTCCTATCTCACAATGATGAATAATTCTTTAAAAAAATCCCTGGATACAGAAGATAATCTGGATCACCACCAAAATCTAATGGTTCGTTCTGTGGGCCATGCCCTGACTCTCCAAAGAAATGTCGTCAAAATCCATTTGTTACTTTCAGAGTCATGCTATGAACAATTTAACAAAGAAACAAACACACACCAGTCATCTCAATATCTCAGAAGCCACCCCAGGGATATTCAAGTGTGTACCCACACATGTATAGTAGCTTGTGGTTTCCGTTGCACATGCATTGTCAAGCGCAACATGGTCTGAATGATGAAAGAAGTGGCCCGAACAAATCAAGTTGGTGCAGTATGTTAGGTCCTCATCCTTTAAATGTCTTCATACTAAGCTAAATTACATCCACTGCAACAAAAGAAATGGGTCTTATTAGCCTATTAGCTGCCTTGGAAACAATTCAATACAATAGATATTCTTTTTATAGATGGATTTTTACAATAGTGAGGCTGTTTTTTTCTTTCTCTTCTTTTTTCTGTCTTTTGTTAAATTGCTTTACTAACTGAACTGTTTGAGCATTTCACTTTTCACTGGTTAATGCCCATATAAAAGACTGCATGATAAAAGTCCTATTAGCTCATTTGTCCCTGATCCTTTTTGCAGCCTAGGTAATTTTCTAACTGCAGTGGTTAAATCCAAACACAACCTTAGGTGTTAACAGAAGGAATTTTTATTGTTGAAGAACATTCATTTACATTAATCGTACATTCTCTTCCCCAGCACCCAAGCTGTTATGAGGTGTTAGCTCATTTCTCTTACTCATTATGGAGGGCTGGCTAATGCATGACACTACAACTTTTATGTGTTTGATAATAGACTCTGATCTCTGCTGCTTCCCTGTGTTAAGGCCTGTCGTTGTCTCAGTTTTGATCAGGCAGCAGCTGGGCCAGACATCTGCTCTCAGCTGTCCCAGCAGATGGGACAGGTGATAAACCTAAGTCAGCACTCTCCAAAACCCAAGCAGAAACCCCTTACAGCCTGTGTTTAGCTAACATTCCGCTCATCCGGCCCCAGCTTCCTATTTAACAAAAACACCCCGAGCCTCCACTTGATATCTGACTTTTTAATTTGCTGGAATAAACATTAGACCTTGAGAAAGAATAACTCTTCTCGCCTTGCTTCCTGCTCTGCAGTCAAGCCAAATGTGACCATTAAAGCAGAGATGGTACAACAAGAAGGAAATGAGTTCTGGGTGGTCTCTTGCATTTCATCTGGAGGGAGACCTGAGACTCACATATCCTTGGCTTTGAACACTGATGAAAAACTACAAAGAAAGACTGACACAGACTCAGACATACAAAGAAGCTCGGTCCACCTCCCTGCCATAATGTATGAAGGCCACAATGTCACCTGTGTATTTGATCACCCCAAATTTACTCAGAGAGAGACGAGAGTCATAACACTGCCGACTTTTCGTAAGTATTATCTCACTGTGTCACGTTTGAAAAACTGATGCTCACAAAGTAGAGGCTACGAAAAATATAGATGCTCTTTTTCCTTCTACAGATTTGTCTGGGGCTCGGCTGTTGGACTCAGGGCTGGGAACCAGCAGTGATGACTTTCATGGCGCTGAGTACTTAGAGCTGCAGGCAGGACAGAGTGACACTACTATCGGCCTACAGGTCACTGGGAATGTGCCACGTTACAATGTTACCTGCAAAAAGTAAGAAATAGTTAAACATGTGTGCATTGATTTCACACATGATATCCATGTCATAGAAATACTACATACTACTCAACCCTCAACTCATCAATTTCATCAGCCTGCATTACTAACTGGAGAGGTGGCATTTGAAGAGAAGATACTAAGTTGCATTATGGAAAGTGTAGGATCCGAGATGTGTGGTGTTTCAGCTCCTTCAAATTTGATTTGATTTGATTTGATTTGATTTATTCTTTCAAGCATGTAAAGACAGTTGATATGTCAACACACATAATTTTACACATATCCAACAAATGCTAATCCAATATCAATTTGCTTATACCTAGTACATGCTTGAAT